GATAGAGTCCAATTCAAGAACCATAATAGTATCACTCTCACTGGAAAGTATCTATGGAAACTAGAAACAAAGGGTTTAACGATGAACCTAGTTACACTGCTTTGACAGATGTCTGTCTGGAAATTATTTTAAAGGAAATCAGTAAAATGAATGTCTTCTACATCAGAAACTTGGCCTTAAAGAAACACTGCCACTCTGCCCATTCAGGGATGATAGTCCCCCCCCAAAAAAAAATTATACTCACCCATCCTTACTTTGACACTGCCTCCCTTCTGATTTAAGAATGATCCTGTTCTGTATACTGTGACATTTTTATAGAAGCTGACTTTTATATATAGTGTAATGCATATGACCAATCATGGCTAGTATTCTTTAAAATGTTGCCAGCAATGTAGATCACTGTGGTTGGATCTTTTACTCTGAAAACAAATACCATTTTTTTCTGCTTTTCTAGTTGTAGTTGTAAATTTACAAGCAGGGAGAGGTTATTGCATCCCACCTACGGATTACTTCTATTGATTTTCAGTAAGAAGTTGCTAATTCTCTCAGATTATAAAGATTTGTCTCTGGAAATTTCCCTGTCTTTCATATTGACCTGCAGTGGGATTCTAATGGGATTCTAAAGTAGGAATTAAGGGGGAACTACGAGTTGCATGCAGCACCAACTACTGTGTTCAGTAAGTGAAGGGAAGAATGCGGAAAACACCTTCAATTTCAGTGTTAATTTTTTTCATGCTTGATAAAATCATAAATAGGATACTGAAAGTACAACTATAAAGCCAACTTTTTGAGGTCATTTTACAGGAAAACACTACTATAAATAATTTTCTTTATTTTAATTTAATTATATTTTTGCTGTACAAACTGTTTAGTAATATCATGAAAAATTATAGTGGAACTTTACCCATAAAACTTGATAAAATAATTTTTTTTAGCAAGGAACATACATTCCATATTAATAATTATGCTAAAAAATGAGTGTGTGCTATAAATTGCTTCCAGTATTGTTCCTGTTTCTTCTTTCTGAAGGCTGCCGTTTTGCTGAAGCCCAGAACCCCTAGCAGTAAATCTTTAGGCTGTCATTGGCTTCTACATTTTCAACACAGTGCAAACAAATAGAGAGCAACTGAAGCATGCACAGGGTGAGACAGTGTATTACTGGATTTTAAACAGTACAGACACTTATTTTTAATGTTTTACATAACTATACCTGAAAATGGGCCAGCCTGAAGTGATCTAGCGAGATTAATTTTCTGACTAAGTTCCACTTTAACTTTCTCTTTTAATGTGCAATCAGTTATGACTTAACACATTCCCTTCTACTTAGCAGAAGAAAGTGCTGTCAAGAATTAAATCAATATTTCAAGAACAGAAGTAGATATGGCAAAAATAAAAAATCTAAAAGTAGCGCACATCATGACCTGCTGTATGCTATACAGTCCATCAAAGTCCATAATGGTGGTGAAAGACAAGAACAGCAATTCCTGCAGCTCCTTCAGATGATTTGGAGCAATCCAGCTGATGCAAAACAAGATAAGAAACAGGACATAGGATAAAGAAATTAAAACAATATCTGGCTCACATTAAAAACAAATCTTCTAAGTAGGAGAATCCCCACAGTCATATGTGTCATCAAGCCCAGAATGGAGCGAAAGCCGGTGAGCTGTCAAATCTGAAGCCGGCACTGACGCCCTGCATCTGCTCAGATGGTTTGTGTGTGCAGTGTCAGTGACAGGCTATGGCACCTTGCAGAAAATGTTGGAGTCCTATGCAGAATGGCAATGCGTTTCAGGTCTCCACCCCTTTTTCAAGTCTTTTTTCCTACAGGTTCCCAACAAAATATAATAGGGGGACATTCATTGCTTGCTATGTACAAATACTGATCAGCTATGTCTAAAGCAGTGTTTCTCAACCTTTTTTCAGTCAAGGCACCCTTTGAAAGTATATTCAGTCTTGAGGCACCCCAGTTTAATGTGGGGTACACACCCAGCAGGCTGAATAAAACAAACAAACTGACAGATCGCTGTACTAACACAAGCCATGTTAGTACAGTGATCTCCCTGCTGTGCTTTTGTGTTTTGACTTTCCCCCCGCCCCTGCCAAAACACAGTGATCAGGGATCGCAGCCATTGGCTGCAAGCTCTGATTGGAAGCTGATCGAATGCTGGTTTTCCAGCATGCCCGTTCAACAGAAGCCGATCATGAGAGGAGCTGTACACGCAGCCTGATAGTCGCCCAGTTCTTGCCACAGCTACAACATGCAGCTCTTTACAGATGTGTGGGGCTGCCATTCATTCTTAATGGCACCCACACGCTTATAAAAACACAGCACATTTGCAGATGTGGGAACCACTGGTTTAAAAATGGTGCAGGTACCTTTTTCCTGAAAAAAAGGCAGGCACAGCAGCTCATTCAAATGAATCGACTACGCACAACCACAGTGCATAGAGAGCTTCATGGAATGGGTTTCCTTGGCCGAACAGCTGCATCCAAGTCTTGCATCACCAAGTGCAATGCAAAGCATCGGATGCAGTGGTGTAAAGCACACCACCACTGGACTGTAGGGCAGCGGAAATGTGTTCTCTAGAATGACGAATCACGCTTCTGTCTGGCAATCCGATGGATGTGTCTGGGTTTGATGGTTGCCAGGAGAAAAGTACTTGCCTGACTGCATTGTGCCAAGTGTAAAGTTTGGTAGAGGGGGGATTATGGTGTGAGGTTGTTTTTCAGGGGTTAGGTTTGGCCCCTTAGTTCCAGTGAAGTGAACTCTTAAGGCGTCAGCATACCAAGACATTTAGACAATTTTATGCTCCCAACTCAAGTCCTGACCTCAACCCGATAGAACACCTTTGGGATGAGTTAGAGTGGAGACTGTGAGCCAGGACTTCTCGTCCAACTACAGTGCTTGACCTCACAAATGCGCTTCTGGAAGAATGGTCGAACATTCTCATAGACACTCTCCTAAACCTTGTGGACAGCCTTCCCAGAAGAGTTGAAGCTGTTATAGCTGCAAAAGGGTGGGCCAACTCAATATTGAACTCTACGGACTAAGACGGAAATGCCATTAAAGTTCATGTGCGTGTAAAGGCAGGCGTCCCAATACTTTTCGCAATATAGTATATATGCACTGCTCAAAAAAATTTACGGAACACTTTTTAATCAGAGTATAGCATCAAGTCAATTAAATTCCTGGGAGGGGGTTGTTGATCAGTTTCAGCTGCTTTGGTGTTAATTAAATTAACAACAGGTGCACTTGATGGGCAACAATGAGACGACCCCCAAAACAGAAATGGTTTAACAGGTCGAGGCCACTGACATTTTTTCCTTACTCATCTTTTCTGTTTTGCATTTGGCTAGGGTCAGTGTCACTACTGGTAACGTGAGGCGATACCTGGACAGAGGTTTCAAAGGCAGTCCAACTCCTCCAGGATGGCACATCAATACGTGCCATTGCCAGAAGATTTGCTGTGTCTCCCAGCACAGTCTCAAGAGCATGGAGGAGATTTCAGGAGACAGGCAGTGACTCTAGGAGAGCTGGACAGGGCTGTAGAAGGTCCTTAACCCATCAGCAGGGCCAATATCTGCTCCTTTGTGTAAGGAGGAACAGGATGTGCACTGCCAGAGCCCTACATAATGACCTCCAGAAGGCCACTGGTGTGAATGTCTCTGACTAACAACAATCAGAAACAGACTTCATGAGGGTGGCCTGAGGGCCCAACATCCTCTAGTGGGCCCCGTGCTTACTGTCCGGCACTATAGAGATCGATTGGCATTTGCAATTGAATACCAGAATTGGCAGGTCTGCCACAGGTGCCCTGTGCTTTCCACAGATGAGAGCAGGTTCACCCTGAGCACATGTTACAGATGTGAAAGGGTCTGGAGAAGCCGTGGAGAACATTATGCTGCCTGTAACATCGTTCAGCATGACCGTTTTGGTGATGTCTGGGGAGGCATATCCATGGAGGGACGCACAGACCTCTACAGGATAGACAATGGCACCCTGACTGCCATTACGTATCGGATGAAATCCTTGGACCTATTGTCAGTCCTACGCTGGTGCAGTGTGTTCTGGGTTCCTCCTGGTGCACGACAATGCCTGGCCTCATGTGGAGAGAGTATAGAGGCAGTTCCTGGAGAATGAAGTAATTGATACCATTGAATGGCCCCCGCACTCTCCTGAACTAAATCCAATTGAACACCTCTGTGATATCATGTTTCGGTCCATCCAACGCCGCCAGGTTGTGCCTCAGACTGTCCAGAAGCTTAGTGATGCCCTGGTCCAGATCTGTGAGGAAACACCCCAGGACACCATCTGTCATCTCATTAGGAGCATGCCCCGATGTTGTCAGGCATGCATACAAGCACATGGGAGCCATATAAACTACTGAGTACCATTCTGAGTTGATGCAATGAAATTTCAGCAAAATGGACTAGCCTGCTGCATAATTTTTTCACTTTGATTTTTGGGTGTCTTTGAATTCAGTCCTCTGTAGTTTGATAATTTCCATTTCCATCAAACGATGGGGCATCCTTACATTCCTAACACATTACCCAGTCCATAGCAGTATAGATATCCAGCATGAATTTTTTTCCCTATTAAGATCTGATGTGTTTTCAAAGTGTTCCTTTAATTCTTTTGAACAGTGCAGAAATAAATACACAAACATACATATATACACACACATACTGTACATATAATCACACACACACACATAGTACATATACATAAAGCTTAAAAAAATGCAGATCAACTGACCTGCCTGGTCCAAACACCTCACTTGGCTGACTTTCACTGTCATGTTCAACACTCCCACGACCCGGAGAAATGTTTATTTACAAAATCCTGCACTGTAGGAGGACACCAAGCAGGTCAGCACTCTGGAAGAAGCCTCCCCCAGTCAGGGATCTTTACATTGTGGGCTCTGCATATTACCTTCAACTGTCACTTTACCAACAGTTCAGAATTCTGCCTGTCTCAGTCCTGTATAGACCAGCAGAGCTGCGTACTGTTGGCAGAGTGAGAATGGTCAGGATTTCTTAACCAAGATGCCTTGAAAGGCTGACATACAGTATACATATATATAATTATGTGGAACAGCCAGGGGCAGACTGACAACTCATGGGGCCCCCGGGCAATAGGGGATCATGGGACCCCTGTGTCCTTGCCCACACTCAAAAAAAAAAGCTTATAAAAAAGGTACATGGGGCATTTCATGGGGCCCCCTACTGACCCCGGGCCCTCGGGCAGTGCCTGAGTGCTCAAATGGTCAGTCCGCCCCTGGGAACAGCGTTAAAAAGTAATGAAAACCACATACATAGTCTCACTATTTGCAGGCATGGTGATTGATATTAATTCATGTAATGATTACATGAATGAATGTCAATCACTGTGCCTGCAAATAGTGAGATTAAACCAACTCTGCTAAAAATGACTACTATCACAAATGTTGAACCTCCCAGGGTTCACAGGAGCTCATATACAGCCTGAATAGCTTTCTCATGGTCTTCTCTTTCAATCCCTCTCACACATCTGCATGTGCCTCCCCAGCTATACTGACAGAAGAGCGGGAAGCATCACAACAATAAACCATCAAGTGCATCCCAGAAAGCTGTGGGCATGCCTGGCTGGCCCTTAGCAACCGATGATAACGTCATCGGTTGTCAGGAAGCAGGCGGATAGCCCGTTCAGCTTTCTGAGTGCCTGTCGCACCTGCAGGCAAATTTGAGAGAGCAAACTGGCACTGGACCGGCTTAACTGATGATGATTAGAGTCTTTACCTAGATGCCTGCTTAGTTGGGGAAGTTCTGGGCCATTTTTCTGAGGCACCCCTGGGGACTCTTCGTGGCACCCTGGTTTAGAAATGCTGGCCTAGGGGACATATTTTTGATTTTTTTTTTTTGGATCAGTGGCTGAAGCCAATTATTTAATGTATTCTGACAGCTGCAAGTGCTACTGTCAGAATACAATGTCCCAGTTGGGGAGATTCCTCCATCCACCTCATTTGTGTGGTTGGAGGAAAATGTTAAATAGCAAGCAGACTGAACGAAAAAAAAAAATAACAGCTTATGGACAGCTTTAGGAACTGAGTGCATTTTGAGCAGATCAACAGGTATTTTTCTGTACTTGAAAGATCTGTAGAGGGGTAAAACATAATAGAATATGAATGTATTGCATAGATATAGTGCATAGAGGGATTTTTTTTTGCCCTGACATATACTTTAGCTTTAAGGCATTTTAGCATCTCCTTTTATCTGCTTGAGAATCTCTGCTCTCCCAAACATGCCCACCAATTGCATCTATTTCAAGGCGGTCTGACTATGGGCCAGGCTCTGATTTTGCAGAAAATATGTTTTCTATGTGTCCTTGATGCAGTAAGGCCCCATTTACACTATATATTATGTTAATGCAGTGTGTTAATGTTCCACTTTGGGTGGGCCTACAGGAAATTGGACATCACACTTTTTCTTTCGCACAGCACACCCTGGCGCACAAGTGGTTCATATCTGTGCATTGCAGTGCTCTAAAACACAAGTGCCTAGGTGAGTTGGCGTACCATTCAAAATTAATGACACTGCAAATGGCCATCCTTTTAAACCATCACACAGCCTCTCATTAGTAATGAGAAAGCAAAATGGAATGCATTGTTGTGTGTATTTTATGTTTACAGATTATCGCCTTTACTGTCCATCCCCCTCCCCCCAATCATGTTGCAAGCTACATATGGCTAACACAGAGGCTGCTAGCCAAATCCAATTATAGATAAATTGATTTGCCTCCAGAATCTACACGCCATGCCATTTCTTGGGCTTTGCTTAAAATAGGACTAAATTACAACTCCTTATATTTATTTGGCCTATAATTTGTTTATAATCCCATTGTGTACGTGCATGTTTTTTTTTTTCTGCTTGTGGCTGAAGATAGAGTTTAACCCCTTATTAATCCAACATGACTTTGTTTTCTCTTTGCATCGTCAAAAATTGTTCCTGAAAATAAATTATGAAAAGCAAGAATGCTAAAATATACACATATACTGTACAATGACAACTTTAGAGGACAAGTACACTTTTTGGCCAAAAGTATGTGGACATTCTCCAATTTACTGAGTTCAGATGTTTTCAGTGAAAGTTACTGTTAATGCTACATGATACAAAAACATTTTAGATAAATGTGCTTTTCATCCTTGTAAGAGTTTGGAGAAGTCCCTTTTCTGTTCCAGAATGACTGTGCCCCTGCACAAAACCAGCTCTATAAAGAAATGGTTTGACCAGTTTGGTTAGGAGGAACTCAAGTGGGCTCAATCATATTGAACACCATTTGGATGAACTGGCACAATTGTGAGCCAGGTCTTCTCATTTAACATCCGTACCTTACATCAAAAATGGGCACAGTTTTCCCAAAGACCCAAGTAATGTAAAATCCAAAATTGCAGCAAAAGCTCTTCTTCTTGATCCTCTGCTGGTGCTGCTGGCTCCTCCCCCTTGACCAGTGCCCCAAATAACAAGCTGCTTGCTATGAGGGCACTGGTGTGTGCACACTCCATAAGACACATAGAGCCAAGCCTGGCCCCACTCTCTCTTCATTGGCTCACTGGCTGTGATTGACAGCAGTGGAAGCCAGTGGCTCCAGCTGCTGTCTCAGCCAATAAAGAGAGGGAGACCTGGGAGACAGACGAGACTCCTGTGCACAACGCTGGATTGAGAGGGGGCTCAGGTGAATATTGGGGGGCTGGGGGACTGCTACACACAGAAGGTTTTTTACATTCATGCATAGATTGCATGAAGGTAAAAAAACCTTCAGCCTTCACTTTAATGTCCCTCTTGGAAGATTTGTCCTCTATTCCTGTTCTGATGACCACTTATAATTTAGGATTTCTGTCAATTTCACTCTCAATAATAACAGTCATCAGAACAAATAGAGAGGGTGAATATCCCTAATGGGGATTCATACCACAATAAAAACCTGACAGGTGTTCTAATACCTCTCTACTCTATCTATAGCATGTACCTTTGGTTATGCTTTAAATTTTATGTAGAACATTTTTATTTTAGTTTTGGATAGTGTAGGAAGGATTAAAATCACCATCAGTTTTTATTTTTTGCTGTTTGTGTAATGTTGGGGAGATTTCCTTTCACTTATATTTGACAGGCCCAACAGGAAGTGAAAAGATATTTGCACAAGGTGAGGAGAAATCCTCTGTTAGACATCTGTCACTTGAATTGCTGTCCCCGCTGGAGGATTTCAGCTCACCTCATGCTCTGGTGACAATACAAAATGTATGAGTTCCCATCAATTTCTGCCTTTGAGACAGTGGTCACCAGTAAGAACAGAGGGGTAAACCCCCCAACAGGGAGATAATAAAAACTTCACAAATGGTCCAACCCTTCTCATCCATAGCCCAAAAACTTCCCACATAGAAATGACAACCGCTTCAAAGAAAATTCACATCCCTTGAATGTGTTTCAATGTTCAATGCAACATTTTTCCTTCGACAGTAGTCTGCCTCTAGGATTTTCTTCAGCAACTTGCTAGTTAATCCAGTGTAAGTGCCAATTATTTTCTTAATTTTCCAGTTTTTATTCAGAATTTCCCCATGGCAAGAAGCTTAATATATGGGATTGGCGCTCAAGACAATCTGTTTATTTAGTAGATTTATCCTTGTATAAGCTATTGATTACAGGAGCAGAGCTACCTCATTGACAGGAGACATCATGGAGCACAAAGCTTATATTTATCAAAGGGCTCAACAAGAAAAAAAACAGAGCAGATAAACTGCCCAATAAACTCTAATACTGAATGGCAAGGAAAATACAATAAGACAAAGCTGTAAGTCATGCATGCTCTTTCCTCTGGAGAACTGAATTTGCAACTAATTTTAAATTTAAAATCAAACAAATGAAATATGAACCTGCGGGACTCTGAATGCTGTGATAATTCATTTATATTGATAAATATAGAATGAAGGTGGATGGATTAATAGACAAACAGGGAAAATTATATAGACAAATGTCAGATATTGTAACCAGTCACACACAATAGTAGATTCATAGAAAAGGTGACATTTACTTCTTTGTTTCCTTCCTGCTGTCTTCTCTCCTGTCATCCTCTAGTTTCCTCTCTCCTCTTCCCCAGCCATCCTCTCTTCCCTGCTCTCCTTTCCTTTCCTCTAGCCATCCTTTCTTCCCTGCTCCATTCTCTTCTCCTTTATCCTCTCATCTCCTCTAGTCATCCTTTCTTATCCTTTATCCTCTCCCCTCCTCCAGTCATCTTCTCTTCTCCCTTATCCTCCCATCTCTTCCAGCCATCCTCTCTTCTCCTTTATCTTCTGCTCTCCTCCAGCTGTCTTCTCTTCTCATAGTAGTTTCATAATTGATAAGATTGAATAAAGACACCAGTCCATCTACTTCAGAGTGTGTGTGTGTTGTGTATTTATGTCTCACTCTCTACCACTTCCCATATCCCTCTATATTGAGCTCAATCAGATGCTCATCAAAACGTTTTTTGAAGTTAGTGACACTTCCTGCTAAACCCGCCAATTGTGGAAGAGAGTTCCATAACCTTACAGCTCTAACAGTAAATAACCCCCTATGCATTTTAAGTAATCATGCACACTGGACATTTTTAAAGTTGGTTTTTTTTTTTGGCTTTTTGCATTTTTTTCTACAGCCAATAAACTCCTCAGCATGCTATGCTTTGTGTCCATGCACACATAGGCTTTAATCAGCATTTTTTTGGCAGGGGCATTTTTTGGCTGGGAAAAAACCCCAGAACTAGTGGGTTTCTAGAGCAGGTTTTAGCTGTAACAATGCTCTAATGCAGGTAAACGCGGAAAACTAGGTAAAACACAGTAAAATGCAGCTAAACACTAATGCAAAACTCTAAAAAAAATGCGTAAAAAAACTTTTTTAATTGACTTTATACAGCTAATGCTACTGGCTTTTTTAAAATGCCCAGTGTGCATGAAGACTAAGGTTAAACCACTTTTCGTCCAAGTTCATTGAGTGTCCCTGTGTCTTGTTGAGTGACCTGAGACTGAAATGTTTCCTCCCAACGTTGGATTCAAGATGTTTGTATATCGCTATCATATCCCCTCTTAAGTAAGTTAAATGTTTGTAATAATTTCTCATAACTGAGGTCCTCCAATTTCCTCATTTGATTTGTTGCCCTTCTCTGGACTCCAGTTCCAACACATCCTTCCTGCGGACTGGTAACCAGAAATAGACAGCATACTCTAGATCAGTGGTTCTCAACCTTTCTAATGCCGCGACCCCTTAATACAGTTCCT